TAGGGAGACGTTTGGAAAACTCTCAATACTCCGTTATGAAGGAAACTAGATACCTAGTGCAGGTAAATTGAATAAGATTCATTCCAGAATATTCTGTTAGCTGTATTGGTGCCCTTGGATCCGGGTTGCGCCAAAGCTATCAATACCGCCTACTCAAGAGCGAAGCTCGCGATCATTCGCCATCACAGATAGTGGATTAGGGGTTTGCATATAGACGACAAGGTTCTGAGTAACTTGATAGTGAAGGAAAAAAGCAGAAAAAACATGCCAACTGCCCTAGATAGAACCTCATTCCTATGAAATTTCGTAAGTGCCCAGTTAACGCTATTTCCACCATTACGCCCGCATTCGTCCCGCTGATATAACAACTCTAAGACCGTACAAGTGACGATTTTCATGCTTTTTCGTCCTGCAGCTTCGTTTTTCACTGAAAGGCGGCCTTGAGGGCGGAGTCTGGAGGCGGAGTCACTGGAAAAAAGGAGGTGTCACTGGACTTTACGCGCTATAGCGCCGCTCCTTTACTACTTTTTGCCGCGAAATTGGTACAAAGTTATTCGTGTTCGTCACAACCATATTTTCAACTTCTACACCCGATCGCGGACCGTGCCTTTGAACCATGCTGTGAAATCCCCAAAACGCTGGCAAGAAACGCCCCTTCTCGTAAAACGCGCTGCTTCTCCGAAACCGCAAAGTCGCGAACTATGAAAACAGCCTTCATCTGATGGAAAGAGGGTGTAGACTATTTTCGCAATCAGGGCCATACGTAAGCCTGAGGTCAAGGCTTAGCCAGGAGAAAAGTTCGCAATTTCAAGATTATAATATGAAAACGTAGCAAAGAAGATCCGATTACAGGGGGGGGGGGCAAAAAAAGACATTTCGACCGAGTCACATATCAGCAAAGTTTTCGCTGCCCAGAGAGAGACGTGGATACGAGTACCAGGGCGGAAGATACCCAAGATGTTCCTCTATAAGCAGGAGCTGGCTCTCGCCCATCACCTTCATGTACACCAAAATATGAAGTCATCTCCAGTCGCAACCTGACTGGAGAAGGCCTTCGGAATTCATGTCACCTCCGAAACAGCTGCGAAACTTCTAGTGTGGAGTAACCCATGGATGCTATCTGGAGACCAGTGCTCTCGATCTGAAGGACCTCCAACATCGAGCAGCTCCGACAACGTCGCCACGGTCTAGGACATCATCTCCACCTCAGTCGCCAAAGCGCCGGTTGATTGTGGGTACCGGACGTACCTGCAATGGAGAGACCGATATTTTCTTCGTGGGCCCCGGACTAAAGGTCAGGGCTGGCGGTTACATCGAGTAAATCGAGGGGAATTATCCTCTCCACATGTCGTCGCCCGTACCTTCTTGGAAACTTTGTCTGCTACAGGATTGGGTGACACCACATGGAATCAAAGGGCGTTGGGAA